AAGTCGCAGCCAGCACGTGCAACAAACGGTGCACCACGGTTCTTGGATATATCGCTCAGTACTCGCACATGCCTGAGAAAGTGCAAGCTGCGGATTTGTCCAGTTCTCCCGGGTCTTCCACAAGTGCGCCGACTGGCTGCGAGCTTCTGAATGGGGCGACCCTGCCTTGACCAGCGCGGCGGCGCCCTGCCTCGCCAGTCTCATGCGAGCCGCGCTGTTCACGTTCAACGCGCGGCGTCAAACCCCCGAGGACTTGAGGGGGAATGCCAGGATTCACCTCCCTGTCGTCTCTGTGCTCGCTGGCGCGCTTTCGCCGAGCTTCTGGAAGCAGCCCCCGTTTGCTCTGGCCCTGGAAGACGCGTGCCGCAATTCCCCTGCCAACTTTGAGTTCTATTATGCAGGACTTGCCGCCCTCGGGACTCTTGAGCAACACAGGAGAGATAACCCCACCCTCTCGGTCAAGCAGCTGCAGAAGGCGATGTACCGCGCGATCCGTGACCATCTGTACCCCGACAGGCTCCATTTGATGTTCTTCCAGAGGCTCTTGAAGTGGTTCCCTGAATATCGCGACGTGATCCTAGGAATCCACTGGCAAGAGCTTCAAACCGTGATTCGCACCCCCCCCCCTCCCTCTTGGCGCTCTGCCCTCATTAAAACGCTGCGCGGGGCCTGGACTACCGAAAACAACTTTCAAGCCAGTTGCCCATGCATCCTTGGTTGCAGCAATCAGCATGGCAGGTTTCAGAATGGTTGGGCTTGCCCTAAATGTTGTTATCCGGCTTACACCTCCGTGGGAAACCCCCTCCAGGACCACTCCATTTACCGACGCGCGCTGCGTGCCCCACCTAGAGCCTCTCTCGAAGTCCCCGCCCATGCGGGTGTAACGTTCTCGCCGCCATCCCGTCGCCGTCTCAGCCCATCGTCGGCCCCGGGGTGGCCTTGGCGCAGGTCCGCTCAGTTCGCTTCCAGGCCTGGAGGCCCGCAAGCAGCTCGGCCAGCCGGGGCGCCCGGCGCGCCCCCAGCGGCGCGCGAGGAGGGGGCGGGCGAGGAGGAGGAGGAGGAGAAAAAAAGGAAGAGAAAAAGGAGGAGGAGAAGGAGGCCTTCTCCTTCTTACTCCCCCCCCTCGCACGTCGCCGCCGGGGCCGGCGCCGGTCAGCCAAGGGGCGCCTCGCGAAGCGGGCAGGAAGATCGGCGGGGATCTTGCGTCAAAGAAGAAAACGCGCCGTAGACGTGTACTTTTGGCGCTCCGCGCGAATTTCTTGGATCCGCGCTGGGCTCCCCCTGGCGGCGCCTCCGCCGCAACCCCCAGCGCGCCCCGCGCGCCAGGGTAGAGGGTCCAGCGCAAATCCAAAAATCCGCGCGGAGCGCCAAAAGTGCACTTTCATGCTGTTTTTTTCTATTGCGAGGAGGGTACTTGGGACGGGAGGGGATCGACAGACCGGGAAGGTGCCCGTGGCATTTTTGGCCTCATGGTGGTTGTTTGGGTCTGGGAGCTGTCGCGGGGCCGTCTTGGGCCGGTTAAGGGCCGTCCAAGGGCCGCCTCGGGTCCCGCGAGGGGCCCTCGTGGGCCGTCTTGAGCTGACGGCAGCCCGAACGGCGAGAATGTAAAAATCAGTAGTTTTAAAAGACCGACGGGCCATCAATGGTTTGGACTTCTTCGGGCCCGGTTGGAGGTCCTCTGGTCGTGGCCCTGTTGGGCCCCCTTGGAGGCGCCCTGGGCCGCCTCGAAACAATATTCAGCCGCATTGGGGCCGTCTTACAGCGGGCGGCTTGAATAAGGAACATTTTTCAAAAGGGGCTCGGTCGTTCTTTAGGCTTGCATGCGTTATTTACAGTTCCTTATGCGTTATTTGGTATTTATCGTTCCCTATGCGTTATTCCTTGGGATAAGAAGGGGCTTCGTTCCTTATTTATCGTTCCTTAGGTCAGACTGATGACTGCGCCTTCGAGGCATCTTGGGCCATCTCAGTGTCCTCGGTTGCCTGCGCGGGCCGTCTTTCGGGGGCGGAAAAGAGGGGGGTGATGACTAGGGGGGGGGGGGGATATCATGGCGGGGGCCATGGTATTTCCCCAGATTTCATGGCGCCTCTTCTTCTTTCATTACGTCCCTGCCCCCCCCGCTGGGCCGCGCACATGCCGCCGGTCATGATTTGTACCCACCCCTCTTGGACACCCCCCTCTTTGCCGCTCCCGAGTCTTGGAAGCCCGTGGCGCAGATCAAACGCTTTTACGATGGATCGTGGTTTGGGAGGCCCTGGAGCGCTCGGGAGCAGCAGCTGGAAATGCGGGACGTGCACTATCCTCGTGCGGGCACGCGTGCGATGGGAGGTCTGGGACGTTGCAGCCGTGCGGGAAGTGCGCAGTCCTCGAGCGGGCACGCGTGGAAGGGGGGGTTCGGCATGAATCGACATGCGGGGAAGGCCCCATCCTCGAGCGGGCACGCGTGGGAGGGGTTCAGGCAGTAGCTGCAATGCGGGACTTGCACCATTCTGAGGCGGGCACGCGTGGAAGGGGAAATTAGACGTTAGCTGCCACGCGGGAAGTGCACCATCCTTAAACGGACACGCATAGAATACCGGTTCAGGCATTAGCTGCCATGCGGGACTTGCACCATCTTCGAGTGGGTCGCGTTGAAGGGGGGCTCATGCATTAGCTGACATGCGGGAAGTGCACCATTCCTCGAGCGGGCTCTCGTGGAAGGGGGGATCAGGCATTAGCTGCCATGCGGGAAGTGCACCATCCTCGAGCGGGCTCTCGTGGAAGGGGGGGTCAGGCATTAGCTGCCATGCGGGATGTGCACCATCCTCGAGCGGGCTCTCGTGGAAGGGGGGATCAGGCATTAGCTGCCATGCGGGAAGTGCACCATCCTCGAGCGGGCTCTCGTGGAAGGGGGGATCAGGCATTAGCTGCCACGATGGAAGCGCACCATCCTCGAGCGGGCACGCGTGGCAGGGGGGTTAGGCATCAGCTGCCACGCGGGAAGTGCACCATCCTCGAGCGGGGAAAGGGGCCTCTCTGAGAGCAGGGGGATGCACGCACCGGTCCGCGAGTAGAGGGTGGGGCGGCCCCGTGTTCGAGCTCAAAAACCCTACCAGGCAGACCTTGGCATTGGTCCACGCCTCAACCTGTCAGGGGGCGCGGTGGCGGATCCAGGAGGCGTCGCTTGAAGTGGGCAGAGGAAGGTTGGCAGGGACCCTGTGGGGAGGGGACTTGGGACAGGAGTGCGCATTGCAGCATCGCTGAGGCATTTAAGGCAGGCGTGTGCTCTGGTCCTCCGCCTCCTCCCTCCCTCCCTCCCTCCCTCCCTCCCTCCTCCTCCTCCTCCTCCCCCTCCTCCTCCTCCCCCTCCTCCTCCTCCTCCTCCTCCTCCTCCTCCCCTCCCTCCTCCCTCCTCCTCTTCCTCCCTTTCTCCTCCTCCTCTTCCTCCCTTTCTCCTCCTCCTCGCCCCGCCCCCATCCAGGAGAACATGGACAGCGAGGACGCACTCACCCACCAGGCGCCCTGCGGGGGGACGGCGGGGGGACGGGGCGGACGTCGGCGGCGGCAGGGGGCTCTCCTGCGCCCGTGCCTGCTCGGGCTACACCAGCGGCCCGGAGGCCCACCCGTCAGGAGTGAAGCGCCGTCGCGAACGCTGGTCGGGCCGGTCTCGCACGATCACGGGTGTCGTTCTGCTTTCCTTGGTATCGCTCGGACGTGTGCACTTTTTCTCGGCGGGGGTTATGAAGGAGCATCCTGGATCGTCCGGCGAAAAAACACACGCACGAAACCGAAAAACAGCACAGGGAATGGGACGTCCGAGCGACGGGGAGTTTCTGGCCTGTCTAATGATATCATTGCATGGTCTGCAGAGCATGGCGTCGCTGCGGGTGTCTCCGGTCTTCGGCCGCGAGTGTGGGCAGTGAGGGCAGGGTCTGCAGGTGATCCAATTCAGGCCGAAGCGGTGTGTGGTGCTGGTTGGCCTGGCCAGGCTGTGTAGTTGCCCTGTGTTGCATCGCGCCCATACATTCAACGCAGCCGGCGCGAGCAACACAGGCCTCCGTCTCCTCCTTTTTTACCTCCTCCCCCTTGTGCCTCCTCTCGTCTCCCCTCTTACCCCTCCCTCGATGGGGAGAGAGGACACCAGGGAGGACGAGGAGGAGGAGGAGGAGGAGGAGGAGGGGAAGTGACCTTCCATCCCTGCGAGAGGCGGGATCCCCCTTTTTATCGTCCCAGCTTCCAGCGTGGCACCATCCTTGGACCAAAGGCCAAGCAATTCCCTCTGGCGTGGTGGGCTGGCAGGTGGTATGGCAAAGCAGGCCTTAACACGCCTTGCGTTTCTGGGGTGGGCACTTCCGTGCTTTCCTGGTGGGGAGAAGGGCGAGGAGCAGCAGGAGGCATTCAAAAGCGCACGCGCTGCAAGTCTCTAACAACTTCGGTCGTAGTGCGATCGAGCCTGGTGCGCCTGCATCATGGTTGCACGGGATTGGATGCATCATATCGTAGAGTGTCCATACAAGTGCCCGAATGTTGAACGTAGAATGCAAAATGCAGGATGAGGGATTCTGAATGGGTATGATAGAGGGTTGGATGTAGACCATGGAAATGGAAAGGCGGGGGGTTATGCACACGAAAAGCATGAATAGACGATCTCGGATGTATTTCAGGACAGATGGAGCATAGCGAGTAGGGGTGGAATAATGTACAATATCGAGTATGGCATGTAGAAAGATAGAGACCGAATTTGAAGACTAATCCAGAGAAGCTCGAATGGACCGGGTAGCATGGACAATCCTTAGCTAACAGGGCTAGAAAGCAACTGTGCATAGTAGTTTGTTTCTCTAGGGTGTCGAAGAGTAAAGTCTGCCGGCAGACCCACGACATCCGGCCAGTGTTATTCTGAGGGTGAAAGTTGGGGCGGTGTGGATCTCGGCGAGGTGGACCTCTGATAGGCTAGCTTGCACGGTCGGAGTGGACGGGAGAAGGACGGACCGAGGGCGAGAGCCGCGCTCTAAGGCAATGCAGCACAGGCCACATATCTACCCTCCCTCTTGGCTCGCCAGGTGGCCCAAGCGCACTTGACCGCTCATCAACAGCTCACCAGCTGTTGGCTTGACCAGTGAGGAACCCTGTCTCACGCAACGTCCTATTATCTTCCATTGCTTATCACATCGTCATGCCCTCGATGAGCTCGTGCAGGCTCGCGTCACTCATGGACGGGCACCTCATCCGCTATGGTCTACTCGGGCTGCTTGTGTCCGCGCTGGCGGCGGCGACTTGCGGCGCTGTCCTCGGCGGGGACGCCAGCCAGAAGCTGGCGACCGCCCTCGAGGAGATGTCCGTGGTCCTAGCGCTGCTCACGGTCCACCTCGTTGTCTCGAAGCTCCGCGGCGGCGAGCCCCAGAAGGCTCAAAAGAAGGCGAAGAAGAAGAAGGAATGGCGACTGTAAAAGACCACCGCCCCCACCCCACCTGATGGGCCTGTTTTCCACCACCACAACCACCATAAGTTGGAGGGGGGAAGGAGGTGAAGGACGTGGAGGAGGAGGAGGACGAGGAAGAGGAGGAGGAGGTGGAGGAGGAGGAGGAGGACGCGATGGAGACCGATCGCAACCACTTCGGACCGAGCGTCGACCACTTCGGACTGATCACAACCAGTTGCGATCGGTCCGAAGTGGTTGCGATGTTTTTGGTTCGCTTCAATAAGGTTTCGATTAAGGGAGGGATCATAAGAGCGCGTCTGAGTGCACTGAAATCCCTTAAGCCGCCAATGTGAATATGAAAAAGCGGTTGCGATCGGTCCGATTACCGACGGCCGATCATGATCTCAGCTAAACACATGTATTTGAGCTCGAACGTGGCCATGATCCGTATACAATTCCTATGTGATTCGTATTCCTTTGCGACTAGTACACGATCCCGATGAGATTCGTAGACGATTTCGATGTGCAGCGTATAAGATTCCAATGTGATTCGTCTGCGAAGTTCGCCAGAATACTAAGAGGGCCTCTTCGGGAATCATAAGAATTCCTACGGGTCCTACCAATTCCCAGATTCCTGGGAGGGTTTCCTAGGGAATCCTAGGAATTCCCATGGGTCCGACCAATTGCCAGATTCCTGGGAAGGCTCCCTAAGGAATTTCCAGAATTTTACAGTTCCTAACACTTCCCAGATTCCTGGGAGGGCCTCCCAAGGAGTCCTAGGAAATTTCAGGGATCCGACCAATTCCCAGATTCCTGAGAGGGCCTCTGAGGGAATCTTAGAAATTCTAAAGGATCCTACCAATTGCCGGATGCCTGGGAGGGCCGCCTAGGCAATTCTTGGATCTTCCAGGTCCCAGGGATCCGACCAGTTTTTCTTATGTTTTGGAGGGCATCCTAAGGAACCACAGGAATTCCCAAGGATCCTACCACTTGCCAGATTCCTAAGAGGGCCTCCTAGGCAATCCTAGGAATGCGACGGGAGCCCACCAATTGTTTAGATTTCTGGGAAGGCCTCTTCGGGAACCCCAGGAATTCCCAGGGGTCCTACCAAGTACCAGATTCCTGAGAGGGCCTCCTAGGCAATCCAAAGAATCCCCAAGGATGCTACACATTGCCAGATTCCTGAGAAGGCCTCCTAAGGAATCCCAGAAAATTCCGGGGGATCCTACAAATCACTAGATTCCCGAGAGGGCTGCTTCGGGGATCCTAAGAATTCCTAGGGCTCCTCAGAAGGAGGGAGGGGAGGAGGAGGAGGAGGAGGAGGAGGAGGAGGAGGAGGAGGAGGAGGAGAAAGAGCAGGAGAGGGAGGAGAAAGAGGAAGAGGAGGAGGAGGAGGAGGAGGAGGAGGAGGAGGAAGATGAGGAGGGAGGGGGAAGGAGAGTGAAGGGAGGACGAAGGAGATCATAAGGAGGCAGGAGGGGGGGGAAGCGAGGAGGACCAGGGGGAGGGAGGGAGGGAGGGAGGGAGGGAGGAGGACCAGGAGAAGGGAGGGAGGGAGGGAGGAAACGAGGAGGGAGGGAGGAGGAGGAGGAGGAGAAGGAACAGCGTAAACCAAAGACCATCAACGATGTTGCAACTGACCTTTTTTTGTTGTTTTCCCACCAGTGCTTGCAACAATGTATCCTCACTGCGGGAAGTGCTCCGTTGGAAGACATCCGCTTGAAGACCTGCACCCACGCCAAAGCACCACTCATGGGACGTCGTGCCAGAACACCATGCCGGGGATTTGGACACCGCAAGGTGGTGTGATTGCCGCGACGTGACGATACAAAATCGCGTCAAAACTATGAAGACGAGTGTGCGCGGCGCGAAGGCGAAAGCCACATGTTGACAAGCAGTCACCCTTCATCCGCGAAACTCATGCAAATGGTTAAGATAAGTGCGCGGCGCTAAGGCGGGAACCACAGTTTGAAAACGGCCCGCCCTCCATCCGCGAAATTGATACCATCATTTAAAACGAATGTGCGCGGCGCTGGGGCGAGAGGAACATGTTGAAAACGGCCCGCACATGGTGAAAAAAACCCGCCCTCCATCCGTGAAGCTCTTGCAAATGCTTAGGACGAATGCGCGCGGCGCTTGGGCGAGAGCCACATGTTGAAAACGGCCCGCCCTCCATCCGTGAAGTTCATGCAAACTTTTAAGACGAATCCGCGCGGCGCAAAGGCGAGAGCCACATGTTGAAAATGGTCGCCCTCCATCCGTGAAGCTACTGCCACTTCTCAGTTTCAGGATCACAAATGGTGAGGAGGTCTCAGGCGACACGCCCCGCTCACTCTACTTGCCTGCTTCGGGGTGCGACAGGGAGAAACTGTATATAAGGAAAATGGACGGGGGAGGCGGAGGCGGAAGCGGCGGCGGCGGCGGCGGTGGCGAGGGTGGAGGAAGAGGAGGAGGGGGAGAGGGAGGAGGAAGAGGAGGAGGCGGCGGCGGGGGCGGACGCGGAGGCGGGGCAGAGGCGGAAGCGGAGTTAGAAGCGGAGGTGGAGGCGGAGGACGAGGAGGAGGAGGAGGCGGAGGAGGAGGAGAGGAGGAGGATGGAGAGCGACAGGGAGGAGTTACCTGGAAGGAACACGGCTTCAGGAGGACCCCAGGCAGTTGGTCAGACCCCGGTCCGCAGGCGAATGGTTCGACCCCAGTCCGTATGGCCCCGTGTGGGGGGGGGGGGGGCGCGCGGCACGCCACGGCACGCGACGTCCGACAGGGTCGAAGAAAAAGGAGGAGGTGGTGGTGGTGGAGGAGGAGGAGGAGGGAGGAGCAGGCAGCAGCAGCAGCAGGAGGTGGGGGAGGGGGAGGGGAGGAGGTGGAGGGGAGGAGGAGGAGGAGGAGGAGGAGGAGGAGGAGGAGGAGGAGGAGGAGGGAGGAGGAGGAGGAGGAGGAGAGAACGAGGAGGAGGAGGAGGAGGACGAGGAGGAGGGGAAGGGGGAGGAGGAGGAGGCGGAGGAGGAGGAGAAGGAGGAGGAGGAGGAGGAGGAGGAGGAGCAGGAGGAGGAGAAGAAGGAGAAGAACGAGGAAGAGGAAGAGGAGGAGGAGGACGAGGAGGAGGAGGAGGAGGAGGAGGAGGATCCAGAGGATCGGGAGGATCAGGGGCAGGAGGAGGAGGAGGAGGAGGAGGGAGGCGAGGGAGGCGTGCCGCCCTCCCTCGAGCACGCCTTGGGCCACCCGCCTCCTTTCCCCGCGCCTCCTCTCGGGCCCCCCGCCGCCGAGGACGCCGACGCCCCCGAGGACCGCGACGGCGCGGTCCCCGCGGCCTTGGAGGGCGCGGCGGCCGACCAGGAGGCCTGCCAGCAGGCGGCCCCCGAGGGAGGGTCCAAGTGGAGCAGAGGGCGCCTTCCTTGGCAGGACCACCAGCGAGGGGCCGTCAAGGGGGTGCATAAAGGGTGGCCGTCAAGGGGGTGCACCAACGGCGGGGGGGGGATGCGTCGAGGGGGTGCATGCAGGAGGTTGGTTCACGCGCGCGGTTCAAGCGCCCAGAGTGGTTGCACCCCTTGACGCCCGTTCCAAGGTGTCTGCTGACCTGACCCGGCCCTACTCAAGATCGAGGCCACCACTCCAAACTTGTTTCTGCTCTCCGGGCTTTCCCGCACGCGCAGCGATCAGGGCGGGGGGGGGGGCGAGCGGAGGCAAGCCTTCGGAGGAAGGGGGGCGGCCAGACGCAGTTCGGAAGGTTGGTGCGTCTGGGCCTCGGGGGGGGGTCCAGGGACCGATCTTGACCTGCCGCTGCCTCCACCCGCCCTGCTCCGAAGCGAGATCGTTGCGCAGTGCCGCCGCCCATCGTCGCTGGCGCGCGCGCCCACGTGGCGCGGCGTCGGGGGGCGCAGGGGGCGCCAATGGTGAGGACATAGCAGGCGGAACGTTCGGCCCGCCGCCCTATCGGCACGCCCAGTGGCACGACGATGAGGAGGTGATGAGGAAGACGAAGGAGGAGGGGTGGCAGGAGGGGGAGGCAGGGAGCGGGGACCGGCAGGGGGACGAGGAGGAGTGGTGACAGAGGCTGCGGCGGCCCCTCGGCAGCAGCTCCCCCTCCCCCTGCTGACCCCCCCCGTCACCATGCCCGCACCCTCCCCCCCCCAACTCTTCCCCCGCCCCCACCCCCCACCACTCCCTTTTTCCCCAGGGGTGGGCAGAGGCGGAAGCGGAGGCGGAGGCGAAGGCGGAGGCGAAGGCGGAGGAGGAGGAGGCGGAGGAGGATGGGGGGGGGAGGGGGAGGAGGAGGAGCCCCCCCCCCACTCTTCCCCCGCCCCCACCCCGCACCACTCCCTCTTCCCCCGGGGGTGGGTGGAGGGGCGGCGGACGGGGACCGAGGGGATAGAAGCGTCCCCGCGGGGGCGCGAAGGGCGGCGGCGCGAGGGACAGTGCGCGAGGATGCCCCGTGCGCGCCGCGCCTCGCACGGTGCGCGAAGCGCAGAGTTTGGTCGCGCAGGGAGGGGGCAAAGGGAGAGGGAGGGGCCAGGTGAGGATTGGGAAGGCGTCCTAAACAGCTTGTTCCTCAACCCTTCTCCCTTATAGTCCGCTCGCACAGCAGCGATGGGCAATCTTCCCAAGGGTACGCATCCTCGCCTCCTCGGCCCATCCTTGGCCACTTTCGCTGGCGCCCCGCTCGAAAAGCTTCGAAATGACCTTCCAAGGCCCTTGCGTTATCATCGTGCATCCTTATGATACGGGTCGACTGTAACATCTTGGTCATGCTTATTTCCCCCGCCTCCCCCCATCCTACCCGAGCTACACGTGCATGGGAGGACGCTTGCGACAAACGTGTTCAAAGTACCCGTTTCCATTTTTCTTGAAGGTTGAGAAGCTCAGAGAGTCTCTGCCCAAGAAGGGGGGAAGAAGAGGCCAGACGAGGATTGGGGAGGCGATCGGGAAGCTCACCACGCAGATCCGCGCCGCGGTGAAGATGGGTGACATGCTAGCCGCAGAGGGCCTGATGCAAGAGATGCGCGAGGTACGGTGGGCACACCGAACAAGCAACTGGCCTGCCAGCAGGTCACTGAAGTCTCTTATTCCCCGAGGGCTCCAGGGAACCCACAGAAGCTCCAGAGCACATTTCAGGACCCTCAAAGATCGACGAAGAATGTTCCCAAAAATTTCTCGCAGCAAGGTTCCCCATCGCACGCGCCTGCTGTACAGTGGAGGCCCGTGCCAAGAAACACCCTGCTTGCCTCCAGGGTGCCCTGGGTTTCTCAGGTTTCGATGGTCCTGCTGCAGTGCTATGGAAAGCGTGACGCTCCCACCTCAAAAATCGATGGACATCTTGGGGTCTCAGGGTTGGGTTCCTCGTGGAAGGTTTCTTCTGGTCGGACCCCTATTGCAGACGTTCGTCGCCCTCTGGACGCACCGAGGCTGTCGGCCAGCTCGTCGACTGTGGCCTCTCCTGGGGTTAGGTCGGGCGTGTCCCCCCTACAGGCGGATCTTGGACGAAAATTTAAGAACATTCAGAAAAATAGTCAACAAATACCCAGACATAGTCAAACGATCGTCCCCAGACTATTTTCTAACGATTTGGGAATATATTCAACCTATAGACGTGTCCGATGTGAGCCTGGGGAGCTTCGGTGGCCGCCATCGCGGCCCCGGCCGGGCGCAGCCCAGGGCAGGACGCGGTTCGGGAGAGGGCGCCGGGACAGGCCCCAGCAGCTTGTCCCTCCTCCTCCTCCTCCTTCTTCTTCTTCTCGTCCTCCTCCTCCTCCTCCTCGTTATCGTCCTCTTCCTCCTCCTTCTTCTCCTCTTATTCCTCCTTCTTCTTCTTCTCCTCCTCTTCCTCCTCCTCCTCCTTCTCATCGTCCTCCTTGGTGACAAAACCAACGCCGACGTCACGACACGAACCTGCCGCGCGCATGTATGCTCTTAAGTCGGGCACGTGCCTCGACGATGTGTCTACCAGTTTTATGTGTCGAATATGTTTTATTTGTCCTCACAAATCCGCCTTTAGGAGGGCATGCCCGACCTAAATGTACGCACATCTCCCTGAGGTCCGACGTGCGGTCCACCCGCATATGGTAAGGATGAGCGGCTTTTCGAGGGTACCCTTGCGTCCTTCTCCCATTCGGCCCCTCCTTGGCCGCTAACGCAGGTCGCGCCCCGCTCGCAAAGTGTCGAAACATGGCCCTCCGCGGCCGTTGCATCCTCATCATGCGTCCTTACTAGTTTTTGTTATTTGCGTGCACGTCTGCTTGCAACATGGACACGTATAGCGTGCACGCACGTTTTTCTGACAAAATGGTTCCGAAAGGGAGATATCGTATAGCGTGCACGACCGGTGAGTACAAGATTGTCCCTCTAGGTGCGACGTGCACGCTATACGTAACAATTTCCTCGTACAGGTTGCCTGTAGCGAACAAAACACAGCATCGTGAATAATGACCGGAGCCTGGAGCCCAGAGCCCCAGACCCAATTGTTCCGCATCCTTTTTCGAGCCGGATCGATTTGAGAGGTTCCTGGGGCCCGGAATCGGGCGAGAACGCCCGGCTTGAAAACATCGAGACGCCAGGATCTCAGGGCTGATGTACCACGGATCCGGGGTTCATGCTGGCCAGATGGGACAACGCTCTGTGGAGTGGTGTCCTCCGCTAAAGGTCCCAGGTCCTCAGGGCCCAGGTGGAGTCGAGCTCCTCCGAAGCGGGCTCCTCTTCCTGCCTTCTCTTCCTCCTCCTCCTTCGCCTCCTCCTCATCATCAGCAGCATCAGAATCCCTTCTCCCTTGTCCTCCTCCTCCGTCCTGCGTCCTCCTCCTCCTCCTCCTCTTCCATTCTCCTCCCTTCCTCCTTCCCCCCCCCCTCTCTCCCTCCACTTCCTCTTCTTGTCCTCCTTCCTCCTCCTCCGCCTTTCGCCTCCGGGAGAGAGAGAGAGAGAGAGAGAGAGAGAGACGAGAGAGAGAGAGAGAGAAACGAGAGAGAGAGAGAGAGACAGACAGACAGACAGACAGACAGACAGACAGACAGACAGACAGACAGAGACAGACAGACAGACAGACAGACGGACAGACAGACAGACAGACAGACAGACAGACAGACAGACAGACAGACAGACAGACAGGCAGGCAGGCAGGCAGGCAGGCAGGCAGGCAGGCAGACAGACAGACAGACAGAGGTCGGCGGCACGCCCGGGTACCTTCGCCGACCCTGCTGGTCGGTCGCATTCGGGGAGATCGTGAGCGGATACGTCCGCGGAGGCGACGCCCCGAAGGCCAGGGGCGGCGAAAGACGGGGTCAACATCATCAACACCATCATCATCTTCATCGTCATCGTCATCGTCGTCCTCATCGTCATCATGATCGCCATCGTCATCCTCATCGTCATCATCACCACCATCCTCATCATAAGCAGCAGCCAAATCACCACCACCATCATCACCAGTATACACATCACCACCATCATCAGCATCATCATCAGCATCATCATCAGAATCATCATCATCATCAGCATCATCATCATCATCATCATCCGATCATCCTCATCATCATCAGCAGCAGCATCATCATGATCATCATCCATGTCCTCAGCATCATCATCATCATCCTCATCATCATCATCATCACCATCAGCGTCGTCATCATGATCAGCAGCAGCAGTATCGCCATCATCGTCATCAACATCATCAGCATCATCATCATCATCGTCATCATCAGCCTCATCAGCATCATCAGTTGCAGCATCAGCATCCTCAGCATCATCATCATCACCACCATCATCGGCAGCATCATCATCAGCAACATCATCATGGTCGTCCCTCCTTCCCCGTATCCTCATCCGTCGCCCTCATCCCTCCTCCCACCTCCCCTCGTCCCTCCCACACCTGGCCCTCCTCCCACCCCTCCAGCAGTGGGCATGGCAGACTTTGGGTCCGATAGATTGTTACTTTTATCTGTTCCCTCCTCCTCCCGTCCTCTTCCCTCCTTTTCTCTTCCCCCATCCCCGATCCGGAGTGGTTAAGATACTGAACAAGTGCTAATAATCCTGGACAGGACGAAACTTGTGCAAGATAACATCCTGGAGGATGAGGTAGTAGGAAGGAGGTGATGATGGTGGAGGAGGAGGAGAAAGAAGGTCTGGGGAGCAGGAAAGGGGGAGGAAGAAAGAGGAGGAGAGGAAAAAGACGATAAAGATGATGATGCGGACAAGTGAGGAGGAGAAAAAGGAGTTGGAGGAGGGTGGGGAAGAGGTGGACGAGGCTGGTTTGGGGGGCAAGGGGGGATCTGGAGGGTTCGGGGTGGCTTCTCTGAAATTTTCTGGGAGGCTCCAGGAGGGGGGAGGAAGAAGAGGAGGGGGAAGTTTGCGGGAATGCCAGGGACCACCACATCCACGAGGGAAGGACACTTGTGAGTAGCCTCTCACTATCTCTCTCTCTCTCTCTCTCTCTCTCTCCGCCCAGTAGTTCGCAAGCTGCCCGCAGAGGCAGGCTGGCTCAGTGTCCCAGCCCATGGCTTAGGGAGGGACTCAGCCTGTCGAGGGGTGGCGCCGCGCTGGGTTGGAAGCGCGCCCGAGGGCCAGAGTTACGTCGGGCCTGTCCCTCTACAGGAGAAATATACGAACATTATATCATTAGATCGTAAGGCGAAAAAAGCAGGGGGGCGATTGTTCGACTATGTTTGACTACTTTTGAAAATGTTTGACCACTGGTTATTTTTCGTCCAACATCCGCCTGCAGGAGGACGTGCCCGACCTCAGGCCAGAGCCAGGCCCGCGGGCTCCCGCAGGGCCACAGCCTCACATCCACAGCAGGGGGCTCGGCACGTGCACCCAGGGCTCTCGCACTATACTCGGGGCGCTGAGGAAGGAACCCTTTTCGTTGGGGAGGGGCTCGGTTTTCCTCAGCTGTCTTGCAGTTCGCCTTCGGTTTTGCCTAGGGCTTCGATGGGAAATCGACATTTAACTTATGGGAACAAGAGACCTCGTTCCTTATTGCGCGGGCCTTACCTTACGACCTGTGCCGCCGACCTTGGAGGCATCGGCTCGGCAAAGGGGGGGAGAGGGGGGGGAGGAGGAAGAGGAGGAGGAGGAGAAGGAGGAGGAGAAGGGGGGAGGAGGAGCAAGAGGAGGAGGAAGAGGAGGAGGAGGAGGAGAAATGGAAAAGGGAGAGAAGGGGGAGGAGGAGGAAGAGGATGGAGCAGGCGTGGACGACAAGAACGATGGAGGAAGAGCAGGGAGGGCGGCGTATCTGACCCAGGACCCCCCCGACAGACCTCGTTCCTTATTTAGGGTTCCTTTGGTCAACGCCCCTACTGTACATCACGCCGCCCCTTCGCTGCGGGGCCCACGGGGCCTCTGTGCCTCCTGCACGGAGAAAGCCCGTCCTGCGCAGATTGCCTTCTCGGGAGAGCCCGCAGCCTCGTGCGCCTCGTCCGCCCCGGCCTTGGGGGGCTCAGGCAGGGCAGGGGCGCACCACAGCGGAGGCCCATGCCAAGAAACACCCTGCTTGCCTCAAGGGTGCCCTGCTTGCCTCCAGGGTGACATGCTTGCCTCCAGGGTGCCTGCATGCTAAGAAACACCCTGCTTGCCTCCAGGGTGCCCTGCTTGCCTCCAGGGTGACATGCTAGCCGCAGAGGGCCTGATGCAGGAGATGCGCGAGGCACGGTGGGCACGCCGAACAAGCAACTGGCCTGCCAGCAGGTCACTGAAGTCTCTCATTCCCCGAGGGCTCCAGGGAACCCACAGAAGCTCCTGCGCACATGTCAGGACCCTCAAAGATCGACGAAGAATGTTCCCAAACATTTCTCGCAGCAGGGTTCCCCATCGCACGCGCCTACTGTACAGTGGAGGCCCATGCCAAGAAACACCCTGCTTGCCTCCAGGGTGCCCTGGGTCTCTCGGGTCTCGGTGCTCCTGCTGCAGTGCTGTGGCGAGCGTGACACCCCCACCTCAAAAATCGATGGACGTCTTGGGGCCTCAGGGTTGGGCTTCTCGTGGAGGGTCTCTTGTGGTCGGACCCCTGCTGCAGACGCTCGTCGCCCTCCGGACGCACCGAGGCTGTCGGCCAGCGCGGCGACACGAAAAACCAGCGGACGTTCTGGGGTCTCAGGCAGGGTTGGGTCTCGTGCGGAAGGCTTCCTGAGCACCGGGCCTCCACTGCAGGTCGGGGGACCTCCTCGAGGTCGCGACTCGCCGTGGCCAGAAGAGGCCCTTCCATTCTTCCTCCGGCGCCCCTCGTGGCAGCACGACGGCACGGCCAGACCCCCCATGGGCGCCCTAGCGAGGCCTCGACCGCCCCACAAAGGCGAGCGAGTGGCTCGACGCCTTCGCCGCGTGCGCGCCGCTGATCCGCCCCAGCACCGCGTGCGCTAACTCCGTCATCGGCGCCCTCTGCGCCAGCGGCGACATCGCCTCGGCCGAGGCCTGGGTCTCGAAGATGCCGCAGTCCGGAGTCAGGCTGGACGAGGATCGCGGGCGGGAAGGCATGTCCATACCCATGGCCTCGCGGGCTGTGCCCCTGGGCCGCGACCCCACGGATACGGGGCGTCGTTCGCCGATGCCCCCCGCGCGGAACGTATCGATGCGACCTGGCATCCGCGGGATCGCGTCCCAGAATCCAGACCGCGAGGGCGTGGATGTGGATAGATTCGCCGCTCGTGAGAGGACACGTTCTCTTCCCTGATTCATGGCTGCGTGCGCGCTGGAGACGTGCCGCGCGGCATACACTGGCTTCGCGAGATGCGCAGGGCAAATCTGCGTCCCGGTGCGGAACTCAACAAGTTCGTCCTGCAGGCGTGTTCGGAGGGTCGCAAGGGCACGGCAGAGTGAGACCTGCTTCATCTGGCGAATGCACGGCGCATTCCAAACATGTTGCCAAGAAAAGGTATAGGAGAAGGGAGATGGGCAGAGAGATGGAGCGACAGAGAGAAAAATGGAGAAAGAGAGAGAGAGAGAGACGCGAGTGAAATATATGGAGAGAGGGGGAGGAAGAGAAAGAGAGAGAGAGGGAGAGATACATAAAAGTAGGCAGAGGGCAACAAGAAAGACAGAGAGAGAAGAGTGTATATATATATATATATAAGGAGACTGAGAGAGAGAGATTAGACGGGGATATGAATGAGCGAGAGAAACAGAGACACACATCCGAGAGAGAAGCGAGAGAGAGGGAGAGAGGGAGAGAGGGAGAGAGAGAGAGAGGGAGAGAAAGAGAGAGAGAACAACAAAAAAAGAGAGAGAGAGAGGTAAATAGAGGGATAGATCCAGCGCCGTTGGTTTCTATTGGAGATTGTGAGAAACCGAGAGGGGGACAGAGAAAGCTATGGGGCAGAGGAAGGAAAGCGGAGAGGGGGAGCCGCTGGAGGCAGGGCGAGACCGCACAGTCTTGCTCCAGGGCTCTCCGGCGGACACGGAGGCGAGCACACCGCTCTGAGGCAGGAGCGTGGACAGCGCCGAGGCAGGGGCGCCATAGGATCGTTTTCTTTTCCGTTGTTTTGCCGATCAGCGCGGGCCCTCGGCCCCCCCCCCCCTCCCCCCTTGCCCATGGAGTAGCTCTTGGCTTTTTTGGGCGTCTGTTCCGAGCAGGCGGGGAGTCTCCCCCAGAGGACGCACGGTTCCAAGCAGCCGCGCTAAGCAGAGGTCTGGAGCCAGACCATCCCCCCCCCTCCCCCTTTTTCCGCCCAATGTCGAAAGGCCGAATAAGAAAACATTCACATTCCGAGATTCGGAAGAAGGCCCGGCCAGAAAGCCAACACCCTGAATCACCACGTGGGCGTTCTGCGCGAGGACATGCGAGTTTCCATGGAGACTGGGATCTCTGGTGATTCACGCTCCAGGCGTTCGAGCTGAGCACCTGCTTCTGCGCCAGAAGTATTGCCCGCGTTGGGGCGAGAGCCCAGAAGCCGGGGGTCGGAGCACGTTTTGTTGAGCAAACGCTCTTCACAATGCTGCCATCGTCTGAGGATAGTGAACCACACAAGCTTGAAGAATGGATTCTGCAGCTTCATGCCAGCGCACCTGCGGATGGTACATCCAGGAATCGAGGGGGTCCAAAGGTGAGAGAGGGGCAGGGCAAGCAAGGTGCGCTCAGCGCCGCATCTGGCATCGCATCATCTAAACTCTGGCCGTTCCCGCCAATCTATTTCCATTTTCCCCGAGGCGGGTGTCGAATCAGGCCCGATCTTGCGGTAGGATGGCGCTTGCGGCGCTCGGTCCCGTCGCTTGTTGCATCAGGGGCGAGTGGGGGCAGCCCTCTCTTCAAAAGCTGCACGCCGCGGAGCAGTGGGGGTGTGGGGCCGGCGGAGCCATCGCGCAGAGGCGCGTTGAACTCCCAGAGGTGCACGATCCGCTTGAGGGGGATGTCACATTGGGCGGATGGTCCACGTGAACACGCCCAACGTGGCAGTAGGTCGAGCTCCCTGCGAGGCGGGTACGATCCGCGTGACAAATGTGCCAAAATAGGCGAGTGCGCTTTGCGAACCCTGTCTCTGGGGCCCTACCTGGAGCCCCCTGTGGGGCACAGGACGTGTGAAGGGTGAGCCGAAATTGGCGCGGAAAGTAGCAGCAAGGGTTGGAGGGAGGAGAGGTTGGGAGGAGTGAGAAGGAGGAGGAGGAGGAGGAGGGGGAGGGGGAGGAGGAGGAGGTGAGACGCGCGGCGTTGCGGAGAAGAAGCAAGGACCAAACAAGGTAAGAATGTTATAAATGATGAAGAGGCAGGAGCGGGAGGCGGCACTGAAGTAACACGCGCGGCTTCGCGGGGAGATGGCGCGGGCCCAACAACAAAGGAGGCGTTGCAACAACAGCACGAGAACGAGGAACAGACCAGCCGCCACAGCCTCTTCTCCTGCTCATGTATCCTTCTTCGGCGGCTACGATTATTACGACACTGGCAATTGCTATTTCTATTACTATATCTACTATTACATCTACGACTATGACGACTACTACTACTACTACTACTACTACTACTACTACTACTACTACTACTAC